AACGAATCTGGCCAGATTCGTCAGTGAACCTGACTTTGGTCGCCATGACCTTGTTGGGCTAGGAAGCCTAGTCTAATCTATACTAAGGTGGATGTTTGTGTTGTGTCTTGGTAGACTAAGTGGCTGGTGGGTGTTAGTTCGGCCGAGGCTGCTAACTTCTAGTTGTTAGGCAACTAGAGCTACTTGAACAGTTGGTAATTGAACCTATCGATAGCCTAAGCCTGCTACAAGGCTGTTAGTTGCCCGATCAAACCTTCGCGAGATTTCAAGAACCCAGTTTTGGCTACCGCTCGGGAATGATCGTTTGGAATGGCGAAATACAAGAGGTAGAAACAGTTTAGAAAGACAGCCTTATTCACATCTTAATTCTATGATTAGTAGGTTGTGTATTGTGTATTGTGTGAGTGTGTGTGTGGAGTGTTGTTGTACAGGCAGGAAGAGAATGAGGAGGATGAGGATGGGAATGGGTTTATTTGGACATCATTCTGCAGTAAGCGTCTGTAGAGCTGGGTTGGGTCACAGTTCAATTGCCAAGGCCTCAACGGCGCGACTTGGCGACGAGAGAACTTGTAGCTGACTGAGAGCAAGTCTGGCTGCTGAGCGGCCGGCCGGCTGTGATTGGCTGGCTGGCGCACCAATCCTGAGAGAGGTGGGCGGGGCCAAGGCGCGGACGTCCCTGTAGATGGCGGGAGTTCCTGGGCTTTATGCCGTTGTGTGTTTATGCCTTTATGCTCTAAGTGGGCTCCCATACGAGGAATAGTTGAGAGTTTACAGGGTTAACAACACTGTAAACCAGACATGACACGGCTGAACTCATCGAAACCTAAAATGTTGAAGAATTTGTTGATCGTTCTGTCCTCGTCGAGGCCACTCGAGAGATAATAGCCCTCAGGCAAATTCAGGAAAATATGAACACGTTGGACTGGACGGTGTGAGAATAGCTTGAGCTGCTTAAACTCTACGTGTGTAATTTATATCTCAATAAATTTATTTTAATTTCAAAACAAAAAATACATTTTGAAATAAATTTATTTCAATATTAAAACATTAGTAGCCAAATATAAACAGATCTAACAGAGAACTGTAGTAAGGTCAGGTTCAGTCTCGTGTCCTGTATACAACACTACTGTATAGTGTAGAATACTTATCTCTGAGAGTATTACATGTAATACAGGCCCAGAGGAATCTTGAAAGACGTTCCTTTCTCTCTCATAATTTTATAATTTCATCACGAAATTCATAAACCGTTTTGTCTTTTAAGGCAATCAGAAATCATTTGATTGTAAAATATTTATTTTGTCTTAAAATCCTGTTGATAATATGATGGTTAGAGCACTAGTTCTTGGTCTGGTCTGGGACAGGCAGCCATCTGTGGGACACCCAGCATCTTGCCACAGGGTACCACAGCCATCTCTGGGACACCCAGCATCTTGCCACAGGGTATCCCAGCCATCTCTGGGGCACCCAGCATCTTGCCACAGAGTATCCCAGCCATCTCTGGGGCACCCAGCATCTTGCCACAGAGTATCCCAGCCATCTCTGCGGCACCCATCATCTTGTCACAGAGTATCCCAGCCATTTCTGGGGCACCCAGCATCTTGCCACAGGGTATCCCAGCCATCTCTGGGACACCCAGCATCTTGCCACTGAGTACCCCAGCCATCTCTGGGACACCCAGCATCTTGCCACAGGGTATCCCAGCCATCTCTGGGGCACCCAGCATCTTGCCACAGAGTATCCAAGCCATCTCTGGGGCACCCAGCATCTTGCCACAGAGTATCCCAGCCATCTCTGGGGCACCCATCATCTTGTCACAGAGTATCCCAGCCATCTCTGGGGCACCCAGCATCTTGCCACAGAGTATCCCAGCCATCTCTGGGGCACCCAGCATCTTGCCACGGGGTATCCCAGCCATCTCTGGGGCACCCAGCATCTTGCCACAGGGTATCCCAGCCATCTCTGGGGCACCCAGCATCTTGCCACGGGGTATCCCAGCCATCTCTGGGGCACCCAGCATCTTGCCACGGGGTATCCCAGCCATCTCTGGGACACCCAGCATCTTGCCACAGAGTATCCCAGCCATCTCTGGGGCACCCAGCATCTTGCCACAGAGTATCCCAGCCATCTCTGGGACACCCAGCATCTTGCCACAGAGTATCCCAGTCATCTCTGGGGCACCCAGCATCTTGCCACGGGGTATCCCAGCCATCTCTGGGACACCCAGCATCTTGCCACAGAGTATCCCACCCATCTCTGGGGCACCCAGTATCTTGCCACAGAGTATCCCAGCCATCTCTGGGGCACCCAGCATCTTGCCACAGAGTATCCCAGCCATCTCTGGGGCACCCAGCATCTTGCCACAGAGTATCCCAGCCATCTCTGGGACACCCAGTATCTTGCCACAGAGTATCCCAATGACAGATACTTGTGCCCTTGTCCCCTTTAGTATCCAATGTCCTCTTGGATACTAAAGGAAGGGGCAGAAGAACTGTGCCTGCCACTCTCCATAGTGTATAAGAAATCACTGGCAACAGGGGAACTGCCAGAAATTTGGAAAGCAGCTAACGTATTCCCGATATACTGTACAAGAAAGGGGATAGACAGGAGGCACTGAACTACAGACCAGTGTCCGTAACCTACATACCATGCAAGCTGATGGAGAAGATTGTGCGAAGAAAGCTAGTGGAACATCTGGAGCGAAAGAACTTTGTAACACAGCATCAACATGGGTTCAGGGATGGCAAGTCCTGCCTCACAGGATTACTTGAATTCTTCGACCAGGCAACAAAAATCAGGCAAGAAAGGGAAGGATGGGCAGATTGCATATTTTTGGATTGCCAGAAAGCCTTTGATACAGTACCACACAAGAGGCTAGTGAGGAAGCTGGAGATGCAGGCTGGAGTGAAAGGGAAGGTACTCCATTGGATAAAGGAGTACCTAAGTAACAGGAGACAACGAGTTAATGTGAGGGGTGAGGTCTCGGATTGGCGAGACGTTACAAGTGGAGTCCCGCAGGGATCAGTCCTTGGACCTATACTGTTTCTGATATATGTAAATGATCTCCCAGAGAGTATAGACTCCTTTCTTTCAATGTTTGCTGATGATGCAAAAATTATGAGGAGGATTTAAACAGAGGATGATAGTAGGAGGCCTAGGCAGCTTGAGTGAATGGTCCAACAAATGGCTGTTGAAGTTCAACCCGAGTAAATGCAAAGTAATGAAACTAGGCGGTGGAAACAGGAGGCCAGACACAGGATAGAGAATAGGAGATGAAGTACTTAATGAAACGGACAGAGAGAAAGATCTAGGAGTTGATATCACACCAAACCTGTCTCCTGAAGCCCACATAAAAGAATAACGTCTGCGGCATATGCGAGGCTAGCTAACATCAGAACAGCCTTCAGGAACCTGTGTAAGGAATCATTCAGAATCTTGTATACCACATATGTAAGACCAATCCTGGAGTATGCGGCCCCAGCATGGAGCCCGTACCTTGTCAAGCACAAGACGAAGCTGGTAAAAGTTCAGAGGTATGCCACTAGACCAGTCCCAGAACTAAGAGGCATGAGTTACGAGGAAAGGCTGCGGGAAATGCACCTTACGACACTGGAAGACAAGAGTAAGGGGAGACATGATCACAACCTACAAAATCCTCAGGGTAATCGACCGGGTAGACAAGGATAAACTATTCAACACTGGTGGTACGCGAACAAGGGGACACAGGTGGAAACTGAGTACCCACATGAGCCACAGGGACGTTAGAAAGAACTTTTTCAGAGTCAGAGTATTTAACAGATGGAATGCATTAGGCAGTGATGTGGTGGACTCCATACACAGTTTCAAATGTAGACATGATAGAGCCCAGTAGGCTCAGGAATCTGTACACCAGTTGATTGACAGTAGAGAGGCGGGATCAATGAGCCAAAGCTCAACCCCCCGCAAGCACAACTAGGTGAGTACAGAGGCGGGATCAATGAGCCAAAGCTCAACCCCCCGCAAGCACAACTAGGTGAGTACAGAGGCGGGATCAATGAGCCAAAGCTCAACCCCCCGCAGGCACAACTAGGTGAATACAGATGTAATTTGGAATTCTTTAACGTGGCAATTCCAACCAGGCCTACGTCCTCTATTTGTTTTTTAGAAGGATTCTCTCCCCCCTTCCTTAACTAGCACTGACATGACAGATTGCCAAAAATTGTCATTGAAACTGTTTTGATGGAAATTACACTGATGAATAGTGCAGAAAGTTGCATTAGTTGATATATGGAATATTATAAAGTTCTCCGTGAAGTAGGCACTCCAAACTTATACAGGTCAGCAATAGTGGCTTTCTCCCAGGTTAAATGTATTAAGGTTGGTTACTGTTCTCACTGTCAGGCGCAACAGTTCGACAGTGAGGTATAGTGAAGGTGACTATGACAGGAAAATGTCAGGAAAGGTTGTCACAATCACTGAGTCTTATACCCTCAGATGTGACCAGTTAGATCATCATTAGTGAGAAAATTATGAAAATGAGACTTTCCTCTCCAGTCATTTAATGAAAAGCCAAAGTAATATTAAATTGAGCATAGCCAATATTGACCAGCATATGCAAATCTTTTGTTAAATTTTAATAGCCTAAGTCTTCTTGTAACGATTTTATGTTTTTCTTAATTTATTTCAATGTAGATTTTTGTATCATCGGAAACTAGGTAATGTTGCACTTGAGTGTTGTATCAACATGGTTTATATATACGGTAAACAAGACAGGTTTCAGGCCAGAGTCCTGAGGACCATTGACAACTATGGTAATGTTGCACTTGAGTGTTGTATCAACATGGTTTATATATACGGTAAACAAGACAGGTCTCAGGCCAGAGTCCTGAGGACCATTGACAACGTTTATCACTCGGATTTGTCTTACTCTGTTTCTGTTGAAAAAGTCATATCATATACCACTAGCAAGTTAATACCTCCAAACAATAGGCCTCAGAGAATGAGTGAAAATAAAAGTGTTTAAATTGTTTAAACTTATATGTTGCTTTATTTCAGATAATGCATGTATTTACTTTAATACTTGCAGTACTGAACTATAAAAAGCATAGTACAGTACTACTTACTGTATCAAAGGAGGTGTACATATTGCAGTTTCTTTACTAAAGTAATTATACATTTAAGTGTGCAGAAGGACACTTGCTGTATTAAACTACTTGAACAGTAAGCTGCATACTGTATGAAATATCTTGTACAGTACGTTAATTACTGTAATAAAGTAAGTGCCCAAAAGCTAGCTACTGTATTAGAGCAAATTTACAAAAGAATACTGATAATACTAAAAAACATATATACAGTAAGCTGCTTAATGCATTATGGTAAATTGCAATAGGCAACTTACTGTATTTAGTTGTACATTAAGCAACTTAAAATATCAAAGATGTATATATGCTCCTGCTTAATCTTGAGGATAATAAGGTTAAGGCAGCCTAAAAGTCAGACAAAAATTCTCAATGCCTAAAATCCTTAATAAAATGTTACAATAACTAAGATCCCTTAACAAATAAAGAACCAAGACTAATAATAGCGATCCAATAAACAATAGTAAATAAAGTTATATTGATAATAAAGTGTAGAAAATGCTAATATATCAAGTTCATACCAAAACTTATTCATAAAATCAGCAAACAAATGCTTATCTATACCTTCCACTACAGACTGGAAGGCTGCTTATCTATCCCTTCCACTACAGACTGGAAGGTTGCTTATCTATACCTTCTACTACAGACTGGAAGGCTGCTTATCTATACCTTCCACTACAGACTGGAAGGCAGCTTATCTATACCTTCCACTACAGACTGGAAGGCTGCTTATCTATACCTTCCACTACAGACTGGAAGGTTGCTTATTTATACCTTCCACTACAGACTGGAAGGCTGCTTATCTATCCCTTCCACTACAGACTGGAAGGCTGCTTATCTATACCTTCCACTACAGACTGGAAGGTTGCTTATTTATACCTTCCACTACAGACTGGAAGGCTGCTTATCTATCCCTTCCACTACAGACTGGAAGGCTGCTTATCTATACCTTCCACTACAGACTGGAAGGCTGCTTATCTATACCTTCCACTACAGACTGGAAGGCTGCTTATCTATCCCTTCCACTATATTTATACTATTTCAGTACACATAAGGGGCATAACTGGCCAACCTCTCACAGTGTTCATGACAGAACACTCATGAACACTCGAGATACCTGGATGATCAGGTATCCAGAGGATACCTGATCAACGAGGCTGTGAGTCATATGTCAGGCTGCGAGCAGCGGCGTCCAATAGCCTGGTTGACCAGTCCAGCAATGAAGAGACCGGGCCGCGGGGACGCTAAGCCCCGAAACAACCTCAAGGAAGGTATCTCCAGCATACTAAAACTCACTCATACCTCCAGCATATTACAACATATTCATGCCATCAGCATACCACATCTGTTCATATATCCAGTATAAACACATTATTTATATCATTAATATAACAAAACCCATCCATACCACTTGCGTACCAAAGCTCATTAATACTACAGCATAAAAACTCATTCTTACAATGGACACAAGAAATTTGTTGACCAGACCACACACTAGAAGGTGAAGGGACGACGACGTTTCGGTCCGTCCTGGACCATTCTCAAGTCGATTGTCACAATCGACTTGAGAATGGTCTGGTCAACATAATTTAGCCCCGTTATTGTGACTCATCGCCGACACAAGAGATCCTTTAATCCACCATCATACACATTCATACCACCCTCTTGTAGTCTACCAGTTGGTCGTTCTGGGGACCATCACCCCTGGTCTCCGACCATGTCTCCTGGCTGCTGGTCTGGTCTCCGACCATGTCTCCTGGCTGCTGGTCTGGTCACCGACCATGTCTCCTGGTCTGGTCACCGACCATGTCTCCTGGTCTGGTCACTGACCATGTCTCCTGGCTGCTGTTCTGGTCACCGACCATGTCTCCTGGCTGCTGGTCTGGTCACCGACCATGTCTCCTGGTCTGGTCACCGACCAAGCCGCTATGGCTGCTGCTCTGGTCATCCAGGCTGTTAGACACGTCTGCTCACAGCCTAAAGTCACAGCCTGGTTGATCAAGTAACCTTTGGATATATTTATCATACAACCAACACACAAAAACTTATACAAACCACAAACATACACATGGTCTTGTTGTATGTCTTACTAAACCCAACTTGTGATAAAACTTTGATAAACCCGTCAGTGGTAAGAGTTCCAGCGAGGTCCTCGTATGTAGGAGGACATTGGTCTCAATGTTATGTACATCTGTAGATTACTGTACATCTACACATGTACATCTGTAGATTACTGTACATCTACACATGTACATCTGTAGATTACTGTACATCTACACATGTACATCTGTAGATTACTGTACATCTACACATGTATATCTGTAGATTACTGTACATCTACACATGTACATCTGTAGATTATTGTACATCTACACATGTACATCTGTAAATTACTGTACATCTACACATGCACATCTGTAGATTACTGTACATCTACACATGTATATCTGTAGATTACTGTACATCTACACATGTACATCTGTAGATTACTGTACATCTACACATGTACATCTGTAGATAACTGTACATCTACACATGTACATCTGTAGATTACTGTACATCTACACATGTACATCTGTAGATTACTGTACATCTACACATGTACATCTGTAGATTACTGTACATCTACACATGTACATCTGTAGATTACTGTACATCTACACGTGTACATCTGTAGATTACTGTACATCTACACGTGTACATCTGTAGATTACTGTACATCTACACGTGTACATCTGTAGATTACTGTACATCTACACGTGTACATCTGTAGATTACTGTACATCTACACATGTACATCTGTAGATTACTGTACATCTACACATGTACATCTGTAGATTACTGTACATCTACACATGTACATCTGTAGATTACTGTACATCTACACATGTACATCTGTAGATTACTGTACATCTACACATGTACATCTGTAGATTACTGTACATCTACACATGTACATCTGTAGATTACTGTACATCTACACATGTACATCTGTAGATTACTGTACATCTACACATGTACATCTGTAGATTACTGTACATCTACACGTGTACATCTGTAGATTACTGTACATCTACACGTGTACATCTGTAGATTACTGTACATCTACACGTGTACATCTGTAGATTACTGTACATCTACACATGTACATCTGTAGATTACTGTACATCTACACGTGTACATCTGTAGATTACTGTACATCTACACGTGTACATCTGTAGATTACTGTACATCTACACATGTACATCTGTAGATTACTGTACATCTACACATGTACATCTGTAGATTACTGTACATCTACACATGTACATCTGTAGATTACTGTACATCTACACATGTACATCTGTAGATTACTGTACATCTACACATGTACATCTGTAGATTACTGTACATCTACACATGTACATCTGTAGATTACTGTACACCTACACATGTACATCTGTAGATTACTGTACATCTACACATGTACATCTGTAGATTACTGTACATCTACACATGTACATCTGTAGATTACTGTACATCTACACATGTACATCTGTAAACTACTGTACATCTACACATGTACATCTGTAGATTACTGTACATCTACACATGTACATCTGTAAACTACTGTACATCTACACATGTACATCTGTAGATTACTGTACATCTACACATGTACAACTGTAGATTACTATACATCTACACATGTACATCAGTAGATTACTGTACATCTACACATGTACATCAGTAGATTACTGTACATCTACACATGTACATCTGTAGATTACTGTACATCTACACATGTACATCTGTAGATTACTGTACATCTACACATGTACATCTGTAGATTACTGTACATCTACACATGTACATCTGTAGATTACTGTACATCTACACATGTACATCTGTAGATTACTGTACATCTACACATGTACATCTGTAGATTACTGTACACCTACACATGTACATCTGTAGATTACTGTACATCTACACATGTACATCTGTAGATTACTGTACATCTACACATGTACATCTGTAGATTACTGTACATCTACACGTGTACATCTGTAGATTACTGTACATCTACACATGTACATCTGTAGATTACTGTACATCTACACGTGTACATCTGTAGATTACTGTACATCTACACGTGTACATCTGTAGATTACTGTACATCTACACGTGTACATCTGTAGATTACTGTACATCTACACGTGTACATCTGTAGATTACTGTACATCTACACGTGTACATCTGTAGATTACTGTACATCTACACGTGTACATCTGTAGATTACTGTACATCTACACATGTACATCTGTAGATTACTGTACATCTACACATGTACATCTGTAGATTACTGTACATCTACACATGTACATCTGTAAACTACTGTACATCTACACATGTACATCTGTAGATTACTGTACATCTACACATGTACATCTGTAAACTACTGTACATCTACACATGTACATCTGTAGATTACTGTACATCTACACATGTACATCTGTAGATTACTGTACATCTACACATGCACATCTGTAAATTACTATACATCTACACATGTACATCAGTAGATTACTGTACATCTACACATGTACATCTGTAGATTACTGTACATCTACACATGTACATCTGTAGATTACTGTACATCTACACATGTACATCTAATACTTGATGAGATGTAATCATCTCATTGAGAGATGTACATCATAATCATTGAATTGTAATGTACATCTACATTGGTCTCGTGAGGCTGGTCTCAACAACCAGCTCCTCGTAGATGTGTCCTTGTACATTATTGGTCTCGTGAGGCAGGTCTCAACAACCAGCTCCTCGTAGATGTGTCCTTGTTCATTATTGGTCTCGTGAGGCTGGTCTCAACAACCAGCTCCTCGTAGATGTGACCTTGTACATTATTGGTCTCGTGAGGCTGGTCTCAACAACCAGCTCCTCGTAGATGTGTCATTGTACATTATTGGTCTCGTGAGGCTGGTCTCAACAACCAGCTCCTCGTAGATGTGCCCTTGTACATTATTGGTCTCGTGAGGCAGGTCTCAACAACCAGCTCCTCCTAGATGTGTCCTTGTACATTATTGGTCTCGTGAGGCTGGTCTCAACAACCAGCTCCTCGTAGATGTGTCATTGTACATTATTGGTCTCGTGAGGCTGGTCTCAACAACCAGCTCCTCGTAGATGTGCCCTTGTACATTATTGGTCTCGTGAGGCTGGTCTCAACAACCAGCTCCTCGTAGATGTGCCCTTGTACATTATTGGTCTCGTGAGGCTGGTCTCAACAACCATCTACTCGTAGATGTGTCATTGTACATTATTGGTCTCGTGAGGCAGGTCTCAACAACCAGCTCCTCGTAGATGTGTCCTTGTACATTATTGGTCTCGTGAGGCTGGTCTCAACAACCAGCTCCTCGTAGATGTGACCTTGTACATTATTGGTCTCGTGAGGCTGGTCTCAACAACCAGCTCCTCGCAGATGTGTCATTGTACATTATTGGTCTCGTGAGGCTGGTCTCAACAACCAGCTCCTCGTAGATGTGCCCTTGTACATTATTGGTCTCGTGAGGCAGGTCTCAACAACCAGCTCCTCCTAGATGTGTCCTTGTACATTATTGGTCTCGTGAGGCTGGTCTCAACAACCAGCTCCTCGTAGATGTGTCATTGTACATTATTGGTCTCGTGAGGCTGGTCTCAACAACCAGCTCCTCGTAGATGTGCCCTTGTACATTATTGGTCTCGTGAGGCTGGTCTCAACAACCAGCTCCTCGTAGATGTGCCCTTGTACATTATTGGTCTCGTGAGGCTGGTCTCAACAACCATCTACTCGTAGATGTGTCATTGTACATTATTGATCTAGTGAGGCTGGTCTCAACAACCAGCTCCTCGTAGATGTGTCCTTGTACATTATTGGTCTCGTGAGGCAGGTCTCAACAACCAGCTCCTCGTAGATGTGTCCTTGTACATTATTGGTCTCGTGAGGCAGGTCTGAACAACCAGCTCCTCGTAGATGTGTCCTTGTACATTATTGGTCTCGTGAGGCAGGTCTCAACAACTAGCTCCTCGTAGATGTGTCCTTGTACATTATTGGTCTCGTGAGGCAGGTCTCAACAACCAGCTCCTCGTAGATGTGACCTTGTACATTATTGGTCTCGTGAGGCAGGTCTCAACAACCAGCTCCTCGTAGATGTGTCCTTGTACATTATTGGTCTCGTGAGGCAGGTCTCAACAACCAGCTCCTCGTAGATGTGTCCTTGTACATTATTGGTCTCGTGAGGCAGGTCTCAACAACCAGCTCCTCGTAGATGTGCCCTTGTACATTATTGGTCTCGTGAGGCTGGTCTCAACAACCATCTACTCGTAGATGTGTCATTGTACATTATTGATCTAGTGAGGCTGGTCTCAACAACCAGCTCCTCGTAGATGTGTCCTTGTACATTATTGGTCTCGTGAGGCAGGTCTCAACAACCAGCTCCTCGTAGATGTGTCCTTGTACATTATTGGTCTCGTGAGGCAGGTCTCAACAACCAGCTCCTCGTAGATGTGTCCTTGTACATTATTGGTCTCGTGAGGCAGGTCTCAACAACTAGCTCCTCGTAGATGTGTCCTTGTACATTATTGGTCTCGTGAGGCAGGTCTCAACAACCAGCTCCTCGTAGATGTGACCTTGTACATTATTGGTCTCGTGAGGCAGGTCTCAACAACCAGCTCCTCGTAGATGTGTCCTTGTACATTAATGGTCTCGTGAGGCAGGTCTCAACAACCAGCTCCTCGTAGATGTGTCCTTGTACATTATTGGTCTCGT